TACGACAACAACAAACCACTAGCTCTCTTGTTGCATCCTAGTACCGAGAAGTCATCAATCGTTACTATTATTATCTAACTGAATGGTACGAGTACGTAGTACGGGCGTAGGCGCAGTGCAGCATTGTCAACGGTGCAATTGCACCAACGCGCCGTAAGCCGTAGGGCTGCCAACTTTCCAAGAACGTAGGTCAAACCATTGCCGTTGAAAAAAGTGACAACTACCGACCGACCACTTATTTCTCACCTTTGTTACGTCTTCATCTTAAGTAGACTGTCTGCCACTATCTTTGCAGTCGTTAGTTGATTAAAAATCCAGTTCACTTAATAACTCTGCGAAAGGCCGGTAGTCGAGATTGAAACCCATTGCGACCAGAAGACATCGATGTTAAATTGTCAACTCGTAGCCAGAATGTGCATTGAAGATTTGGATGAGATGTCTGAGAATTGTCAACCCTAGGCGTAAGCCAGGACTATTTATATATCATAATAGAGGCAAGCGTGGTGGGTTAGACGCACTGAGCCCGCTCCGCTGCGTCGCCGCGGCCTATAAATCCCGCGGTCACAATGCACTCGCATGCTCCAAGTATCCTCCTAGTAAACAAACAACACACTTATAGCCACTTTATAGGAATTGAACATAATCGACAGTACAATTCATGACAGTTATGTGTCCTTATTGTTGTTATCTTATGCTATACTAGCCTTTGTTCGCGACTTCGTAGACACGGAATTAAAAAAAAAAATCTATGTCGCCCGGGAAAAGTTCCCAACAATTAAAGTATTTTTTAAATCGGTTCAGTAGTTTCGGAGGCTACTCCAAGCGAAGAAATAATCTACAAGTTAATAAATTTTTAAAATTAGTAGTTAAACATTCTTTTGCTATTGTTGTGAAACTTTACTGCTGGACACAGTGTTGTAAAACAAGTGTCATGGCAGTAAAAACTGATTTTTTCAACGCAACTTTAAAAACTTTTTTTTCTATATGACTTTTGCATATTATATAATTTATTGCATGCCTACGGATTACTAAAATCCATCTAAGTTATCTGTCTATTCTAATCTTTATTTCTGTACATTTGTAAAGTTATTGAAATATAACTAAGTGTGATGCATTGTACAAATGTATTTTAAATTCATCTTCATTTGAACCACAGTCGCGTGTACCTATCTCTAGACTCCCATATTTGTGGTCAATTGGCATAATATAATGTGAGTCGACACGTAGGGCGAATGCTGAGAACGGGAGCCTATTGCTAGATTAGGGTATCCATGGAGTACATTGTGTGTACGGAACGTTTACAGTTTTGGTTTTAATTTACTTCGCACGTTAGGACATTACTTACAATTTATAATTTACTAACTTTAGCCTGCGATTTTGAATGTACGAAAATAAAATAAAAACTTAGTAAATAGCCAATGTGTTCCAGGCAATTGTCTGTATATGTGTGCCAAGTTTTATCGTTATCCGACGTGTACATTTTTGTATGTATGTGTGTGTAAAATTTGTATGTAAATCATTCGTAGACGCAGTACCTCTAGCCTCCCGCTTGACCGATATTGTGACATGAAAGTGTACTTCCGTGGAGTGTCAGAGGTGTAACGTCAAAAGAGCTTCTTGGTTTTTTGATTAAATGTTTACAATTTAGACTATATTTGGGTGTTATGAGGAGTATGGTGACACTAGCCGTGATGAATTGGTACCGACTGGGTCGGCAGTGCGCGATGCACTGCTTTACTAACCTACATACTGAAGGATTACATCACAAGTACTCTTCAAAGTTTTTACAACGTTCACCTTTATGTTGGAAGAATCATTTTACTGAGACATGTCTGAGACATTTTTTTTTAAATCAATTTAATTAGGATTTTATTTAATTTTAAACGTAATAAGGACTAAGAAAAATACGTATGTATACATACCTAGCGGTGAGTTGTTTTGAATTTAGCAATCTTGCTTCCTTGACGTTGGCAGCTTTATTATAACAGTATAGATGAAGAGGCTACATTTCCTTACTCTTTTTTTGTTTTCGTAAAAGGAGTAGAAATAAGGTTTAACTATATGTTTAGATTATTGATACTCAATATTATTGGTTATTTGTTTATCAGTAGATAACCACATTTTTTGGAGTTGTTCATTCAGGCGTTAATAACATGGACGTGCATGGCGCGCCGCGGCTGTGAAGCTAATTATGCCATTCAAATACCATCTCATAATGTTCTCACATAGTAAAGTAATCACTTTAGTTAGCATACTGTGCCCCGCATCATGTTTACCGGGGTCAGAAAGAGTTTGACTTTCGCGTAAACAAACGCCATAATTCTGATAAATCTAATCTGTACACGCGACGTTCCGTTTGACCTCAAGACATCAGTAATTTTCCATCGACGTCGTGTCGCTTAGTTACCTATGAACGTAGTTGATAGGTGAATTCACTGCAGAATGTTATACAATCACTACAGCATTTTTACTGCATTCAAGATAGCAACTATATAATTACTTACTATACTATGTAAGGATAAGGATATAGTACCTCCGTGGAAATGGGCTAGACAGAGATTTGTCCACTTCTTTCATCGCTCTTTCTGTATTTACATGTACAATAATGGTGGTTGTTACATCATATATGTTTTATCTCTCCAAAAGTTCAAATCATTCTTAACATGTCATAAATTACCATTAAAATTCAACATAATGTAATTATTTATAATAAATCGTATTTGATTAAAAGCAGTCATTATTAAATTTAATTTAGAAATGATTATTTTACTTTCCAAAGTAAACAAATATTAACTGAGAATAAAATGTTATCTGTCTGTTATATTATAGAATTGAAATAAACATTTGCGATAAAAAAAAATCTAAATTTAAATAAACTTAAAAGTAGTACGCGATAACGAGCTTTGTTGTTATACTTGTTTACTTGTGTTGTTACTTTCTTGCGAAATTAGAATAAACTATTGTTAAAGCAAATTGGAATAAAAACTCAAAATGTTTTTATTCTTAAACGATGGTATGTTGTTCTGCAATAGCAAGAGCGGGCGCACATCTTTGGCTAAACAATCGCAGAAGTGTTGTGCGATTGTTTCGAAGCAAACTCAACAGTTTAGTTAGAGACAACAAAGTCAAATGGTTACGAACCTTTATATAAACTCGTAGGAATCAAAGCGAGATCAAATAGTTATGTGATGTTTTGTCAAAGGTGTGCGCGCACTCTAAAAGGTTTACTAATACTAAGTATACGCCCGTTTAAGCACAAAATTTATACATTTATTGAATACGTTCAATACAAAGCGTCTCTGCATAACACACTCATTGTGTGAACATATTCACATAGTATTAACATTTGTTTAAATAATATTAAACTTCATTTACATTTTATAATAATATTTGAAATAGTATAATTATTACTAAATACACTGTTTTAAAAAAATATTAAATAAAAAAAAAAACAATAACTAAGTAATGTTTTCGTTTCACTGAGAAATTGGCCTCACAATCGTTGTATTTAATATAAATACAATTTAATGTATACATTATCTCTCGTTTTATGTTGACTAGATTCCTTTTATAACAAAATTTCTTTTATATTCAAAAAAGTTTTCATTGCACAATGTTCGAGAGCTTAAAAACTAATAATTTATATTATTATTATAATTTCATATGTACGAGTACTATATCTTTTGTAAGTGAATTAAGTACATTAAAGTAACTAACTACAAATATTCCAAAACCGTAAATGTTTGGCAGCAGTTGTTTGATGTTAAGTACATTTGTTAAAACTGATAGTTACAGTGAAATAATAACTATATTTGCTTTTAATTAAATATGTTTGATTATTTTACATTTTACATTTAATAACGGACATATTCGCAGCTTTAAAGCTTTATACCAACTGTAAATATATTTCAACAGCGTCATACAGTTTCTAAATATAGCAAATGTGTAGCAACGCTATTGCCAGAATATTATGAAAAGTAAAATAAAACATATTATTAGGTCAAGGGAGTTACCTGTGGAATTACGATTAAAAAATATTATTCAATATCCTGCTTCGACCAATCTTTGTCGTATATTTTTGTCTTTGATTATATTCTATTATTAACTTTTGTAAATTCTATTTTCCATTTGATCCAAATTAACCTTTGTATAAAACAATAATAAAATGTAATAATTCTTAAACACGATAAATATAAATATTAAAACTAACATGTAAAATTTGTAATAAATGCGAAAATACTGTTTAAAATACAATCATTCGTTTAGTTATATATCTTTAATATTTAAACAACAACGTTAAAAATATTCTTTGGACTAATACGTATTCATTTCCTTAATTCTCAAAATATACATACATTTAGCTTTAAATAAATTATAATTAATTGGACACTCAGTACATAAGGTACAATATCACACTAGCTTTTGCCAGCGACTTCGTCTGTGCGGAATTAAAGAATAATTAGTAGCCAATGTGTTCATCCAGATTATGTTCTACATCTATACTAAATCAGCGAGATCTGTTAAGCCGTTCTGGAAATACATAGCAACAAACATTTATCCATACATCTAAACTTTCGCAATATTAGCAAGATATTATTTACATAAATTATATATTAGACAATTAGCATATACACATAACTAGATAGAACTATTTAACGACACAATAACTATACTCTGAAACTCGTACCTAAAACCTTCGCAACAAAAAACAAAATAGGAGTATAGCATATGTTATAGGAGTACTTATGTACATAAATGTGAAGTTTTATTATTTGTATGGAATATTATATTATTAAATACGTAAGTTTTTCGGATATTATACCTATTCATACATTTCATACATTCTATTTAACGAATAATATTATAGGCTCCGATTTTTTTTTACATTTAAAAACCAATTAACTCAGAACCACAAAAAATAAATTTAATTTATTTTTGTTACAAATCGAAAGTTCACAATCATCTACACATACTTTAAATAACGTTGTTTTTGAAATGTTTTAATATGTACTAGCATTGTTTCCTTTCATGGAGACGCTCATCCGGCGCACCGGCGGCGGCATGGGGCGCGCGGGCACGGGGTGGCGGGGGCGCGCCGGCCGCGGCGGCAGCCGAGAGTCAGTGCTGGCCCGCGCTCGGAACTCCTCTGCGCCCTCCGACAGACCTGATGATGAAGTGGAGTCACTCCGCACCACGCCCATCTCATCCTCTTCTTCTAGTTCCACTTCGGTCCAACGACGACCTGAAATAACATTTGATATAAACGTTAATTATTATTTTAGAAAGCTTAGCGTTTTCCTGTTAAGAAAATCGTTAAGTAAATTAAAAAGCTGCATTTATTTAATGAAGTACGAAGACCTCGGACAGCGGTGATACCTATCTAATATTTTCTCATTTTAAATCCGATTCCGAATCTGGGTCGCGACTTAGAGTAATTAAACTGAATCTACTTGTTTGTAGAATTTAATTACACCGCACGTGACAGGGGTAAATAAATTGTAAGCTCGACTCAGAGGTAGTCAGTAGGAATGCGCGATGCCGGTAGCGGTGCGTGATGTAAAGTCGACAACTCTACGTGTTTTCACGTTAATACCGTCTGCTATTCACCAAGCGTTGTTTTCTCGTTTATTTCCATTTGCACTTTAGTGTAACTGTTTATTTGAACTATAAAGAAATAAAAAGGTTTTTTTAACTAGCATTCGCCTGCAACTCCGTCCGCGTGTAATTTAAAGATAAATCAAAAATGAGTAGCCTATGTCTAGACTATCCTCTACCTCTTTGCCAAATTTCTATAAAAAATAAACTTTCGCATTTATAACATAACAACTATAATAATATATAACAAGTAAGAAGTAAAATTATAAAACTACATTGCTTTTCATGATGTTTAAAAGTTACGTTTATGAATCAAACCTTACATTAGTTGCATCTTTATGCTATTATTATGTACTTTCTATTCAGACAATTAATATTAGACATTGATACTCGAAGTTATTAGTTAAAAGTAACTTACAGAATGGTGCAGTTGGAGGTTCAGGTGCTGAGTCGGAGGAAGCGCGCGCGAGCGGGCGTGCAAGTGTGGCGGACACGCGCGCGTCTCCGCGTCCTCGCGTCCACTTGCTGCCCACACGCCAGAAGCGACGCGCGTCCCGGAACACACCCCACACCTGACATCACAGTAATAGTAGTATAGGTAGGCATTATTTTAATTGTTGTTACTTAATAAAGCACCAATAATCTACACGTTTGTTAAATTACATGACAAACATAGTTTGATGTCAAGTTATATTTTTACATCTTCCTCGTCATATTAAGTATATACATGTGGCAAGTAAGGAGTGAAATATCTCCGTAAATTATCAGGCCAAAGTTTTTCAAGACATTTTATGGATGACATCAAACTGCAGAATTTCTTGTTTGAAATAAATTGCCCATGTCACAAACAATCTTCTAAACATATTGGCTTTCATTACACCGTTAAATTACATGAAATATTCACCTGCCACTTTTTCGAAATAATTTTAGATTGTTTATGAAGCTTTGTTTATTCCCAATCATATACTGATCTATGTATATTATACAATTTGTATTAGTATGTTTTAGAATTAAATTGGAGTTTTTCTATTTGAACGTAAACCTTGAAATGTATAAAAATATAATAACAGTTCGTAATTGTAAGGAAGTTAGAAGAAACAGTCATCTTAAATATAAATTGTTTGGATTACATAGACGTATTTATTTAGACTGGATGATATGTTTGTAATAAATTACAAATCGATGTGCTAAAATGATACTTCTTTTAAAGATTAAAAAAAGATCTAATGTTTTTATCCGCGCAATTTCTTGCTAAATTACAATTCAATAAGACAATTGCAGTTTTATAATTACGATAATATTGAATTTCATCAACTGAAAAATAAATAACTACGTTCTGTTCCGAACGACTTTGTAGTTTATAAAGACGTGTTTATAAAGTGAATTGAGGATCGTATTAAGCAGAATTTGACAGAGTTCATTAAGTTTGAAAGAAGCCGGATTAAATTTCAATTATATTTCCATAAATGATTGCCCGTCTCCCGGACAAAGCTTTTGATTGATGACGTATGGCCAACGGTTTACTATGTCTACGTTTCCACCTGCAAAACATCTGTACAACTTGATGTCTATGATTTTTTAAAATGAAATTGACATACCGTTTTTTTGCACATGTTTTTGGCGTTCCTTGCTGTTTCTTAATTGTAATGATGGGTATGATAATCAAAGCTTATACTTTAAAATAAATAAAAAAGGGTTTGACGGTCAAATATGTTAATAAATTGTTTTCACACTTTTTATAAATAACTTATTCAATATTACTGTTTAAACCCATTTTATCAAATGTTTTACATTTTTATCTTTCACTATCAACTTCACGTTACGAAATAAATTCTCATGTATTCAGAGATTCAAATTGGACGTAAAACAAAGTTAAATTATTCCGGATTTCTCATACGCTTCCAAGTTTTACGGATTACGTATAATCGCTTGACATCTCATTTCCCGGGGTAAGAGGCATAAAAATAGATTTGATTTACCTTATATTTTTTTATGGGTTTCATGCTTACTGTTTGGTGAATGTTTTATTATATTAGAATGTTGTGAAACGTAATATCAGAGCATATGCATTGCGAAAAGTTTTGTAAAAAAACAAATTTGCCAGGATAAAAACTCATGAATATCCTGTTTAAAAGTATCTACATTTGGTACTGGCTATCAAAAATGAGAATTATGTAAATATGTTGTAAAATTTTTGAAATCTGATATTTAAATTAAATCTGTGTAAAATAGCAGTAGGCGTCTAGCTACTAGTCACTCGTAAAGACTTGTGAGCTGACGATAACAAATACAGCAATATATTCTAAACTAACGGTCGACCACTACTTCGTCAGAAATAAAGCATATTATATATATCTTATCATACCTACATAGTCATAGTCATAGTACTATCAAAATCGGTCAAGCCATTTCGATGACTACCCGCAATAAACGCGGACAGATTGACCTACAGACAAATGTTGATAATTCATTTTGTTACATTTATAGATGTTGTAATTATTATTCTTTTTTGTGTAAAACGTGTCTATTATATAAAAAGAAGTTAAAACCTTTTAATTTACTGGCAACAATATTTTGCTTCCTTTTATTTCTTTGACATTTTGTTGGACCCGAGTCAAATTGAATAAGACGATTAACTCCAATATCATAAAACACAACAGTAAAAAAGTTAAACGAACAAGAGGTTCAACATTTTCTAATAAAGTAAAAGCGAGTCTCAATTTAATTGCAATAAAGCGCAGCCTTATTGGACTGTTATAAAGGGAAGTCTAAAAATAAACCTGCAAAGACGACTTATAGCTCAGTGGTTACAGAAGACATAACATTTGAAATCCTTGGTTTGAATTCTATATGAGGATTATGACAATAAAATACTACTACTGAGTCATCTCATAGTAAGAACATGAAAATCATAGATATATTAAATGGCGAAAGTTTAGATGGATGGATGTTTGTTACAGCTTGTAGCCTAAACTGCTGAACGGATTTCGATGAAATTTGGTACAGACGTATATTTTACATTAGAGGATAGTATGGAAGAACACACAGGGAACACACTCTCCTTTGTTTTTTTATTCCACTCGAACGGAGTCGCGGGCGAAAGCTAGTATACCATAAAAGTAATAAAAAAAACACCGTGATATCTCTTTAAATATCATATTTAATAAAATGCTAAAATAGAAACTCTGGCTCAAAGGTAAGAATCTTCGCCACAAAGCTTTAATAGAAATATCAAGTAATAGTGAGTTAAACTTGCACTTCAAGTATCGAGTTAGTCATTTTCTCAAAGGACGTTAAAGGGCCGTAAGCTTCGTTAGAACGGAAATTGGTTCTTAGATATCAAAGCATAAATCTATGTAAAGATAACTTCCTTATTATTAAATATTTGTATAAAATATTTATTATTTGTTTTAAGCTTAGACGAAACTTTTTTTAATAGAAAAGCGGTAGATAATCTAATTAACGTTGAACGACTATGTAAATATGTAAATAAGAAACTACGATTAAATAACAAAAAACATCAAAAAAGTTATCAATCAATATATTGAGTGTTTTTGTATAAGTTCAGAGTTAGTCTACAAAACATAGGCGGTATATTCTATTATTCCGAGCTAAATCGAACATGCCGCAATTATTCGAGGAATCTACACTATGTAACTAGCCAGTTGAAGCTGCAGTAAGTTATGCAGAGAAATCGCTATGATAGTTGAGAGATAGCTGAGCCTGTTGGCAATTTAACATTCGATTAGCAACATATAGTAAATCGTCATAATGTAATAATACATAATAGAAATTAAATAAAGTCTCGTATAAATAAAACAAAAATTTAAAATTACTTTACATTTTCTACATAACTAAAAACAGTGAAATACATAACGCCTAGTACCGAATATTACAAACACAGAGCTCGCACGTATTCATTGATTTACGTAATCTGAAACTTCCTTAATGTCACCTTCAATCTTATTTACGTCGCCAACGACATATTTAATGCTTTAAATGTTGTGAATTATATGGAATTCACTTTAAGATGAGTATTTTTGGATTGCTTTTATAATACCTGCGTAATAAATGATACAAAATATTTATGATACAAACATTTATCAATGCAAAATAAATGACGTATACCGAATCTTTGAATGGTCACTACAATACCTTTATAAAGATCTGTATTATGTTTACACTAAGGAAGAGATAGTTAAGTTGTTTTAAGTATGAGGACGGTATTAAATTTACAGTAGGTATATGCGTGTCCTTGCGTACGAATTCCATATTGTAACTGCTATGCTGTTTGTTACACTACTTTTATACTATTTCCACGTTCGTGACAATAACCATTAATTTTGTTAATGTGCTCAAATGCGGCGAACGTGTCGCGGTGGCGCTTTGATCGCAAAACGATTCGTAGACGTTCCGAAAATTCATAGGTTTTGATGGATCATTAACGACATAAAAGCGTTTACTTTCCACGCTGTCTGACTTCGACATTCTTAAAAAAGAACTTTGAACATAGTTATAACTACTAGTTATACTTTTTTAACTCTGTTACCATAACAGAAGCCAGCCATTTTTAATAGAAATATCAAATGGATTGTCCGACACAAAGCGCAGTTAACATTGATGGAATATTTAAAATATTGTATCATAAAATGCACAGACTCGTCAGAATTTCCATTTACAACGAAATTTATACAGTGAATATACAAATGTCCATATTTTAATACTTTCTGGCAATCATGTAACATGTTTTCTTTACGCGAATTCATTTCATGTAAGTGCAGCTTGTACAAAGAAAATGGAAACGTAAAATAAACATACACCCAGTCATTTACAATTACCCTTTATACAAATATTATGCTATGTAGATATTGTGTTTAATAGTTTTTAGAATGTTTCTTGCAAACACAATTTGCTACCAACACAGTATCGCCATATTGTGGTCAGATTTAATAACAAGTTGTTTTATCCTAGTTTTCGCGAGAGAAAACATCGTTCTATTATAAGTTTAGATAGTACAAAGTACTTCCAATCTTAACTCTATGTTGGTAGACGAAACTAGGTAAATGATAGTTGTATCAGTTTGGAACTTTATGAAATGTATACAGAAATGTGAATAACCTTGTTAAATTAAACTTCTCTTCCCAAATCCGTAAGTACTTGTATTATAACATCTTTCAAATTAACCATATCAAAGCAGTTATCGAGATCTTGGAATCGCTTAGAAAATTGACTTCTTTTTATATCACGGGACATAGAAATCAGCTGTTATAAATACACTGACTTTGACCGATTTATGTGTGTATAAACTAAACGATGAACTCGAGACGCTTTTGAAGTGTATAGTTATTTTTACTCACCTGGTCGATGCTCTCTCTTACTGAGATCTCATGGAAACACACGCAGCCTATCTCCTTGCTGCGTCTCTGGCCCTCTTCCGTAGTCACCATGCGGTCCCCGATCTGGTCTGTCTTATTCCCCACCAGAACCACCGGCGTCTCTAGTACACTATCCTGGAATATTATCAAATCATTGAGTGATTGTAGGTTATTTATTAGAACTCGATTTCGACCACACAAGTAATGTTCATCTCTAGTGCCGCTTCTCTTTTACCGAATAAAAGTACTTAGATTTCAATATCTGATGTTACGTCTAATTTTGTTTTCTACTATCGCTAACCAAACTTGAGTCAGTACTCCAAATTTCGCTAACAATCTTTTGAAGGTTAGCCGCCATAGCCTAATTTTATAACAACGTTAATATCTTATTAGGAAAATAGTATATTGTACTTTCGTTCTTCGAGACTCCTGGATTTTGTCTTGACACACCCTACACGTTTGTAACTCTTCTAGTTAGTGTGTTAGTTCTATGTTTGTAACAAGCGATTATAACTCTGGTAGAAACATCTGGTACGCGGTTACACCTTACTCCATAAACATCTAAACCAAAACATTTTAATATAAAGCATTACAAAATTTCTTTCAAAATAAGGGCAATTGTATTTTCAAACAATGTTAATAGTCGGTCCGGAGCCGGCATGTGGGCGGACTCAGGAGGCAGTAATCCGATATATTTAACCAGAACGAAAAGTTGAGAGAATTTTATTTTTCGTAATTTAATAGGAAAACATTTTGCGATTAAAGGGAAAGTGAAATTTGTGTTTTTGTCTGAGAGCTTTTCATAAAGGTAAACAAAAATTCAATTTAATCAACTAAAAAGGATTTTAAATTTACATACCAACACTTTGGAAGGAACACTTTTCCCTTTTATGTCCGACTCGTATGTGATAACGAATTTTCCCATATATAGTTTGGTTGGTTGATAAAAACGATGTGTATCTTTGTAAACATTGAAAATGAATGAAACATAAACATTTAAAAAGAGCAATAGCGAGTACGATAGTTAATTCAAATTAAATTCCTTTATTTAGCGAGAGCATACAGAGCTAAACCCAAGAGGTTTTAAGTCCCAAGTGACTCGGCATACACGTAGACGCCAAAACGTGTCCGAACCTCTATTCAGATAGGTCTCTATCCAGCAAAGGAGTTAGAAACGACGATTGTTTATGCAAAAGGAATATGTACATATGAATGTTAAATTAGTTATTTTATTAATGTTGTTCATTTTCCTTTGATAAAGGTATTTGTAAGGTTGCAATATTTACTGTTATTACGTCGTTTCACAAACAGAAGTAGAGCGGGAAGTGGGGACCTGTTTGAACGTCGCGGTCGCTGCGGGAGACAATGCGAAATGGTTGTTAATTAATTTTACATAAGATGCTTTCACTACCGATACCGTGGATTCTCCTCAAAGAACATTTTGATAATTAATTGTGTACAAAGCGTTACATATTGACCTGTAGATTGCAATAAAGGTTATTAAAAAAACAGAATATTTATTATTCTTTCAAAGGAAAAACATAAAAGCATTTTATCGCTATTAAAACTTTTAACCAAGCTAAGAGTGGGTCTTGACACATTAAAAGGGTATTATGAAACGAATCTATTAGGATAGAGATAGTAATCGCTATCCACTTTTTATCAAGCTTACAAAGTCTGATCTCTACATTATCAAGCGTCAGTAACCCTAGCTTGTCAACAACTTAAAAAATTTACATACTTTAAAGATATAAATCTGATCAACCACATATAATCTTAGAAGGAAACACGTTGAACTTATAGATTCATTGTTTTTAATGCGGATTTTCATTGCTTTAGCACATGTAGTGAAACATATTAGTCTTTTTTATATGGGATTGTAGGAAATTAAAACATGTTTTTCAGCAGTAGATAAGAAATAGCTTTCGAACGTAAGAAACGCAAAAAAACAGCAAGTATTAATATGTTTTTATATAATGTAACTAAAAGTATTCATATAGAACAGATTTATTGTTTCACCCGGTTACATAATTAAATTCCACAACTAACTTCACTCAACGGAGTTCAAAACTTTTGCTTCACTCTAATCACATCAAATCATGCGAATATTTAGTTCGTTAGTCCATCTTTGTGTTACTAAAATTTTACATAGTGATGGTTTATTTAAAAATGTAATAACAATCCCACACCAACTTATTATGCAGAACAGATCATAAAAATAAATAATTATTTTTCTTTTGTTTTATAATTATCACCACAATTGGAATGGTTTGCTTCTCTCAGTTTTTTTAAAATATCAAGAATTAGTCTTGACACTGACTAGTAATACTAGTAGTCAATTACGTACCTTAGTTGCTGATAGTCTACGTCGTCTCTTGTTGTAATTGATAAGGAATTTGAGGCGGTGGCACTCGTCGAAGGAGCATTTGTCCGTCACTGAGTACATCAAGATGAAAGCCTCCGCCCATCGAATGTTGCTCTCCAAGTTCGCGTATTCACTTTCCTGCAACATATCATATTATAAGTTTTGCATACATAGACCGAAAATTCTTCTAGAACATTCTTATTTCTAAACTCACATGAGGATCTCCGGCCGAGTCGAGTATTTCGAAATAAACCATTTCGTTGTCAATAACAGTTTGGAAGGCGTAGATCTTTTCTAAATTGGGATCGTATTCTCCAATAAAACGTTTCGTAATGAACCGAACCACAAGCGCTGTAACAGTTTTTATTTGTTTACATCTAACCTAACTATTTTTTTCTTCATTTCCAATTAAATTTGTTTTTAAAAAAATCGGTTTGTAAACTTCGGCCAGTCATTATATAACATTATAAAAATTAGGTTACATTTTTATAAGTTCTATACAAATTAAACTCGCTTTCCGAAACGTAATTTGCACTTAATTACTATCGATTTTTAATCTAACCGACATCTCTATCGTATATTAACTGCCAGGTAAATTAGCTAGGCTTTTAAAAGTAATTGACATTAAACCAAACTAATGTGACAACATAAGTGAATTAAATGTCGCTTCACATTATGAAACTTTTTCGTTACAAATATCAATACCTACAAAATAAAAAAAGGGCAAAGGTACAGTTTGTTTAATTTGTTTATAAACTTATGTGGTATTGTGGATAAGAGCGACAGCCATTGTTTGTGCCATTTCCAAAATCTACTAGGCAATTTACAAGAAAGACATGTAATAAATATGTGTTCACATTACTACTAGTACTTCCGATGACGATATTGATAAATAAATATTTCTCAAAGGTTATCTTTAAAACGAAAAGCTAAATGTAAAATGAAACAAGGGTTAAAGCAAATACATAAACATTTTATTCGAAATAAATTTCCGTTCGTGCGAATTCATTTCATTGAAATGAAAGCGAATTTCATTGGTCGCTGTATTTTCGCTGGTTCATAGAGTATTGAAATGGAAAGGTAGTTTTTGTAAAATTGAAAAAGCCTTTCACAGATACGAGTGCAGGGATAAATCAATACGCAAATAAAACACGATGTCAAATATAACTACGAGTATACTATATGCACACATGATGAGCTGTCGATTCGACTCTTTCCCTCTCTTTTCTACTCGTTGATAGCTTGTAACAAGGGATAAGTTGTAAAGACGATTAAAGCAAATGAAGTACTAACCGCTCGTTACATTGATCGAGTTAACTTACATGCTCACCTATCTATAGTACTGTTAACATTTATACAAACGGGCAGTTCATTAGGGCAACACGGTCACGGGTTTGTTTCAATATTTACCTTCATTACGAATTTACCAAATGACAGGGTTATTATCTACTTAGAGTAGTATGTGGCTCTGGTACCAAAATGAACAATGTGACCATAAATAATAACTTATATATTATTCCAGTTTAAGGAAAAGTAACAATTAAATTTTGGTTACTTCATTCAACGTAGCTTCGTTGGACCGTGAAGTTTTTATAATTAAACCTGGATAATCCAAGCCAATTCCTGATCTGTTAGCATATAATGTATAAAAAGTACTCTAAATAAAAGAAAAAAGGTGAAGTTCGACTAGTTTTTACGAACTCGCGTCATCGGCGTGTCTAAAATCAATTCGTAAAACCGTCGACGCAGTGGGCTGGGAGGATTTTCTAAAAATTTATGAAACGGCTTGACACGGTTTACATGTTAACCATTACAGTAAATAATTCACGGTTATGTGGCCACCAGTTTGATTTTCGGCAATCGATATTTATACTGTAACCCAATTTATACTGCAATAAAATGTTTTATACTCATGTATTTCCTATTCGACGCCGATCAATACTCACAGAATTTCGCATCAAAACTTTTCGACAGCGCATCAACTAGAAAACTGTTTTCAAGTCTGCAGTATCAGTTCGAAATTAGCCTGATTTCAAATGACGACAAACTTTATTCTGACCTACTTAGTATTGTGTTTGTAGAATTATGCTATAAATAAAACTAAAATTCATTCACTGATTCAAACTCAGAAGTTATTTCTTCTTTTTTATATTTCCAATTCATATTATACAACTACGAGTACCCGAGCAAAGTTTTCAGTAATTATTTTTATTTTTTTATGGGTCACCGAACTTCACATCATTTTACCTTAACAAATCTTAGCAGATTCTTATTGATTTACTAATATGGCTTGTGCAAGGATTGGTTTACATCATTCGAATAGCGAGTTTTAATCTCTCAACCAAGTCGTCGGATATATGTATAATTAGGCTGTTGGCGCTTGTAATTACAAATGGATATTAGAAATAGTTGGCTTTAACATACAAACCTGATTTCCCTACTCCGGACTGGCCCAGCACCATGACTTTGAAAGGTTTTTGTTTCGGATACAGCACAAGTTTGGCAAGAGACGACTTTGGTGAAGTGGCGCTGCTCATTGTTACCAATGTTGCCATTTTATAACCTATCTTGTGTTTAATTCAAAGCAATGTGAACATCTGAAATGGATGACTAACATTTTATCAACAATACAAAATGCGAGTGAACCTGAAAAGCAGTATGATTTGATGAGTTTCTTATTTTTTCTTTTTAAGAACGAAAAATTTTGTATTTATTCTTGGAATTACAAGTAGCCACAACTAGAATTGTTTAAGTACTTTGAGAGGAATTTAAGACAAAGGTAACTTGTACAAGTATTTCGAATTGCCAAAAAATATTTAAGTCTCAATTATTTAATGTTTATTAAGAAGTTTTGATTTGTAAGAAAATGATTTTTAAATTATGATATAACATTAAAGTTGTTAAATCTTGTCAAGAAACGTAGGTGCTATGAAGTAAACACGCTGCGCAAGTAATCAAGATTTATCGACTGAGACTACAACTCGTAGCTGGGACGAACTAACTCGACTTCACCAACTTTAAGTTTCTCAACAACATACAACAACGTCTGTTGGTGACTTTTAAACATATACCAAAAAGTTATCAAGTTCGTCACATCTTAGTTAAATTTTATTTAGATTTTTATAAACACTTTTTTACTGGTTTACCCTACAAAACACGTAATTTTGTAGGGTAAACCAGTTAAATCACCAATCACCTTTACACGAAATGGCGACTGACGGTATGTGCCAACCATAAATAAACTTAGATAATTGTAAATACTTAAGACATAAGACCGATGAAAAAATATAATATTAATCCATTTATAATTTACACATACCTATTGCATTCTTATTTGTGTCATCATAAATACAATAATATTGTATTTAATATTAATATGTGTATCTACAAGTCTAACGTAAATATATTTCACTTAAATTCTAATTAAAATTGATCCCTACATGAGATGAGGTTTCAGATTAATTTGGTGGTGATTCGTCGAAACATTTCACTAACGAGTTACCGATATCCATACAATGCAAACGAGCTGACAATTAAAACCACAAACGCTGCGCCGCCTAATTGCAAATTAGATTTACTGAAATTCAATAAGGACAAGCTTCGACGTCTACATAACACTAATGCTACAGCACATTGGTCGTATTTGCAATAAAACTATTTGATCTGTTCTTTAGTGATTCAATTTGGACAAACTATTTAAAAAAGATTTAATGGCCTACCGGCCGAATGCTGAAACGATAACTAATATGTCGCAGCATCTTAAATGATTATCACGATGATAATTCCATTAAAATTGATGTTTGTCCAATAGAAGCGGCGCTTACGAAACAAAGTGTTTAAGATTCGTTTCAATATTAGGCCGTAAGTACCGTAAGTGATTATCAAAAAGGTCTAAATAAGTGTTGACAGCGGTGTCGTACACGAAGTTTTTTTTATGATTTCCTTGAAGAGCCTTGTATATTTTTTAGACTACCCCCGAAACCGAAAAAAGTTTCATCGAAATCGAATCGGAAACTCAACTTCATGGTGGTACAACAAACTACGATTGACATGGCGAACATGTTCCGACGAAAAACAAAAAATCGTTCTTGTCTTGTAAGTAAAAACTTTGAGTTCTTTGTATTTTTTCCTCTAAAAAATTTGACCATCGACTAAATTAACATCGATACTTGGACAATACATCGATTAAATTGTTGAACGTTGTTATACCACTAAACGTAAAAGTTTTCCAAATATTAAATTAGTTACGCTCCTTCAGACCTCAATTAAAGTGGTGCTCAAATCTTCTAATTAAAACATTTAACCAAAGACAATTATTTGATGTCACGAATCTTAATTTCAAACCCTGAGTAATTTTGATGTATGAAAAATAAATAATTACGCCACTAAAACTTTACAATGTTCGTTTATTTATCCAATTCTTAAATACCCCATTTTTAATTTTTTTGAAATGCTTTAGTAATAAATTCCTATAACCATTAAAAATTTCGATAAATGAATACATTTTAAACAAATGTTAGTTTGTGTCAATTAAAAATCATTGTTACTTTCAACACAAATCGTATAATCAGTAAATGTAAATAGTTTAGAACATAAATGCAAAATATTATATTTTTTTTTTATTTCCATAAGGTTTACAAATATATATCAAATCCTGTATTCAAGATTACGTTAATGTTATTTAAAAAGAAACTAGAAGTGTACTTACAACATTTTTAAGCGAGCTTTTCGTCCAAGATTTTCTAACGTCCCATTCCGCTTTCTTTTCAATTTTCTTTGAATTATCAACACTTAATAGGGTACATTTTATGTGTAACATATTATTCACGAAGCCTTAATTTTCTTTTAACTAAACTTCACTGTGGACTTTTAGTTTTCGCATGTAAATAAAAAAAATAAACAGGGAAAATCATCAACACATCCGCGTCGGAACGTGCCCCGTCCGCGAATGCCGGATGCCGGGCATAGTTGCCCTCCGCTGCCAGCTGCCGGTGGCTGTAGCGATGACATTATAAACGAATTACTCTATGATCCTGTTTCCCTACTTCTGAAATTAATTGGCACTCGATAATTCATTTTAAGTCTAGCTTGTTAAAAGGTGCTCTACAAAGGAAAACTCTAATTAAGTTCAGTGTACCATATTACGGAACGGCATTTCGAAGTTAAAATTCTGCGATGGGAAAATTAAATTGAAACGTTTTTTTTTTATAGTTCGGGGATGGCTACAAAAATGAAAGAGTCCACAAGAGAATCTTATTACCTTAAATGATATGTAGTTATAATATATAGGATTAAGAGAAAAAAAGACGAAAGAATGATTGCAATATACCGCACTTATTCAATTCCCAGCCTAGTAACTGAAATAAGATACGGAATGCAATGGATTTCATATTATATTGCGAGTAGGCTTCATACTTTCAATAGTATCTCTAAATTTCTCCTTTCACACATCGATTTTTGATAATTACGATTTAATCGCAGTTTGGCATTGTTACCAGCGGGAAGTGTTATCGTACAGTATGATAAATATGACATACTAGTAGTTCGCGTGCGGTTTCGTCCGCATGTAATAATAAAGAGTTTATTTTATTTTTACATTGGTCAAATTTTCAATTGCAAATGTCAAAATTACCGTTACATAATAACCGTCCAGCCTTAATGTTGGTAGCTTGTAGTTTAGGTCTTTTTCCTAAATAATGGATTTTTCCAATTTGTTGACCCCCTAAGTTTTATATAGTGAAAAAGTATAGCCTAAATCGTGTCATAAGTGTAGGGCTTTTATTAAAGAAAGAATTATAAAATAAAATGCGATTGCTGGTAACGATGTCGATGATGATATGTATACACACTACTTCATGATGTAGGAACACCACGAAGTAGTGTGTATTTACAATTTATTGTATTAGTAAAGATTAAAAAAATACATAGATACGGTAATTTTTAATTAAATAACGGTTGATACTTCATACATTACAGCACAAACAAAAATGTTTAAAGTAAAAAAAATATCAAAAGCATATGTAAAGCTCTAATCTTGACTTTTCATCTAATTAATTAAAAAGTTGTACTAAAATTTAAACGTAGCGTTACAAAATCGTAGCAAGGTAAATAGTCTACGAGCTACGAGAGCGGTCGCTTCGTCAAACTGTAAACGGATTAAGCGTAGCGATGCAGCCAGCGGGCGACCAAAGTAAATATATGCTACGTCACAGAAATTTCCACACTAAAACTTTGAAATTCTGCTCTAAAATTTCAATCCCTACATGAACTTTTGAGGTAATAAATATTGTTACTGTCTTTACTTTAAATGTTATCTTTGCAGTTTCACTTTTTAATACTACGTTGTTTAAAGTACATGATTATTTATTAGGGTATAGTAGACGAATAATTTGTGATATAAAAGATAATGATGTCCGCGTACGGCATATCATAAACTCAGCCAAACAGGGTGTTATGATCGACGGCGGGCGCCGTATGTTATTACGCATTGAACATGTCTACCTGTGTATATCAGTCATCAGGTGTGTGTATCCCACGCTTTGTATGATTTAGATAACGTTTTGTAATATGAATATTGTTTAGAAAGTGTGCACTGCTTACAGAGGTCAAGATTGAATGTCCATAGATTGAAATAAATGAAAACCTCTACAAGTATAAAATACTTTACCTGAAGTAATTAGTGCCGTTATATTTTTAAATTTAATTTTAATGCTTGAGAATATTAAAATGTATTTATAATTAAAATAAAAAAATGTTATTGTGGCCGCGCCTTATTTTTAGTATTGTTAATTGGGCTCAAAGGCCGTCACCGGCTAACGACAATGTAATGAATGTGATCGTGGAATACGATGGTCATAAGGGCAGATAGGCACTATAGCCTTTTTACAGCACGACAATACAGCTTGGGTCAGTTTGATGTGAATATGGATTTTAACAAAGCAAAGCATTTGAACCGATTATGTATAAAAAAGCTGCAGTTACGACAATAATATTTATAGGATCATATTAAATTTAAAGAGACCAAGATTTTACTGTGGTTTTTGTTATCGTAATTGTTATTATTTAATTATTTTTTTTTTTAAATTCCAAGACTCTTAAATTTATAAAATTAATTCGGATTAAAATAACACAGTACGGACACATCGTTAAAGCGGTCTGAAGGATTCTAATAGGGTCTGCGTATTGCGTAGGCCGACACGTGGCCGTTGTATGGAAATAGATATTCTAATAGCATTCATCATTTGTTAGATGGCTGTTATTTGCTTCACGTGATATCAAAATGCCGGCCAAGCAATAACCGGCAAATGGTTATTGCTAGTTAGGTGTTGAAGTTTTGTATGACAACCTTTTTAAAAGTTTTACTTTGAAATTTAGTTTAGGTTATAGTTATAGTTAGCTATCTTTGCTGACTTTTAATTTTTTTATCTTTATGTCTGAGAATATTTATATTTTATAGGAGCCTTTTAACTATGGGTTAATGGGCTATAAATAAAATTGTTATAACACACACATATGTAAGAATACACTTGGTACATACAAACATGTACGTATAATTACCACGAGAATATCATGTTCCACACTTCTCTAACCGACAAACCAATCTGTAGATATAACATAACAATTCATAATATAATATAAATTACTCATAAGATTTTTTTATCTTTATTATATATCCGGTGCCGGCCCTAGCTTTCTTCCAGAAAAGTATAGTTATCTCGCAGTTTACGTTGCCAACCAAAGCAACTCAAGTGCGCTGAGCTAAAACTTATGAAATTTGAAACTGGCATTGTTAATAATTTGAAAACTACTTTACTTTATCGATAGTATTTCGCATAGAAGCGCAGCTTCATATTGTTATTTCAAACTTTCCTTTGAGTTAATGAGATTGAAACTTCAACCTCGAAACGCTTTTACAATCTTGTTATCTACGGTTATCTTATACCGAATACCAAGCTTCAAAGTTAATGCTTAAACTAACTATTATAGCATCTGTCGCTTGCGACTTAGGTAACGTCGTGTGAAATAATTAAAAACTGTCCCATTTACAATATCAGCAAATAGTAAAATTAAAATAGAATGTTTATCGTATAAGTATATTATATCGATATAAGTTTAAAATAGATCGTAAGAGAAAAAACATACGTCGTCACAATCATAAACACCAATAAAATTAAGCACAGGTCACTGAGCCGTCTGTTCCGTCTGTTTTGTGGTTGAACTTAACGCGATTAACATAATGAATGTCAATTTCTTCAGTTAATAACACTGAGAGAGGGCGGAATCAACTTTAAATCAATAAAGTACTGAGTAAATCTAATTATATGTAATAAATTAAATTCAAATAATATTTATCTACATACTTAGTAAAATTAAAATCTATCGCACGGTTTCTCCCTTGTTTTGGTTTTCGTCTTTGACAAAAGTTTAAGAAAAGAATAATAAGTATACTCTTGTGTTTATAAGTAAATCGTGTAAATCTATAAATAACGTTTTTTTTTTGTCTATAACAATAAATTGACTTTTTATGTTATTTTCCTGGGGATATGGATTTCATGGTTGCCCGTTTTTTATTATGTTTAAGTTCTTATAATAAAACCTATTCTCGACTTTACGAGAACATATTTTACACTAGTTTTCGCCTATGACTCCATCAGCGTAGAAGTAAAAATAAAAGTTAGTAGTCTATGTGTTCTTCCAGACTATGCTCTATATCTATGCCAAATTTCATCAAGATCTCTTCAGCCATTTAAGCTACAAACTCTAACAAACATCCATCCATCTAAACATTCGCATTTATAATATTTGTATATAATATCTGTAATATTTGTAAGTAATTAAGTAACTTTGGAAATCACATTTTTTTTTCAACAATTATTTACAACGGGTAACATCAAAGGCAAGAATTTGTTTGCGTCACTGTCATAGCTGACAGATTCGTTGTCAAGTGTCAATGTCAATCCGCCAAATGTGAAATGTGTGAGAGTAAGATATAAAGACCGCTTTTTATTTCCTATAGGAAGGACTATAAGTGTTTAAGGCTAAATTTATGCATTGAACTATTCGACAAATAAATTTTGTCTAAATAAAATCAAAATGACCCCTGAAGAGATTGTAGAAAAGTTAAAATTATTAGGGTTAAGTGAGCAGAAAGCAAAGGAAACTTTGAAAAATGTTAACGTTACGAAGATCTTACTTGCCGCGTTGAACGAGGTTCGTAATAAAAACGCATAGTATTTTAAAAAATGACAGGAACATCTAGAAATATTTTGATTATTCTAATTCCAGGTTGATCTGCAAAAGGCACCGTCCGGTGCGGGCATATTATTGTACCATCTGGCGACCAAGATTAAGCCACAAATAACTGAAAATTTATCATTTCTATGCAAGAACATAGCTGAAGGAAAATTAGATTCCACTCTACGTGTTGATGCCGCTATAGAGTACCTTCTTAATACTGTAAATGAATCAAGTGTCGATGTTGGCAAGTTTGAAGAAGCATGCGGTGTGGGTGTTTCTATAACACCAGAGCAAATTGAGCAGGCTGTTGAAAAACATATGGCCCAGTATAAACAAGAATTAATTGATAAAAGGTACAGATTTAATTCCGGTATCGTAATGCAAGCAGTAAGAGCTGAATTAAAATGGGCTGATGGAAAAGCTATTAAAAGTGAAGTAGAAATACAGGTAATAAATTTTAACTACAACAAATACATAAAGTTTATGATCATAATGTAAATAAACAAACTTTAAAATATAAATTTACAACAATTACAGATTTTAGATTTATTAGGCCCTAAAACTGAGGCTGATTTAGCACCTGTACCTAAAACTGAGAAGAAAACAAAAGGTGGTGAAGGTGCAAAGAAAAGCAAAAAAGAAAATCAACATGGTATGTTCTGTATAAAATACACTAAGGAGAGTTAAAGTCTTATTAAAAAACTGTACTACTCTATTGTTATTTTTTTACAGACAACAAAGTATCTGAAAAAATTGAATTATCTGAATCCACTGGTGGGGCAATATCAATGATGGATTTAATGAAAAAACTCCCTTTCCATGCACCTGGAGAGAATTATAAATCAGATGGTTATGTTGTAACTCCTAATACAAAAAGGTTACTTGAAGAACATTTAAAAATAACTAGGGGCAAGGTACGGACAAGATTTCCGCCTGAACCAAATGGAATCTTACATATTGGCCATGCTAAGGCTATTAATATAAACTTTGGTTATGCCGCTGCACATGATGGTGTATGTTTCTTGAGATATGATGATACAAACCCTGAAAAAGAAGAAGAGAAATTCTTTATTGGCATTAAGGATATGGTGGAATGGTTAGGTAATATTTGCAATATTCTGTTTGTTTTTGTAGGACACTAGTTTTTTTATGCAACTATGTTCATGCTGAATTAAAAAAAATGGTAAGAAATAGGGTCTGTCACCTAGAGATATTGTAGTTACCTCACAGTAATTTGATTTTTTTTAATTAGTTTCTGTATTTTCAGAACCTACTCCAAAAGAAACAAATAAATCTTTCTCTTTAAAATGTTAAACATAAAATTATAGTAATTAAAGATTTTATTTTTTTTAGGTTATAAACCTTACAAAATAACCCATTCATCTGATTATTTTGATCAATTATATGAATGGGCAGTTCAGTTGATTAAGAAAGATAATGCATATGTGTGTCATCAAAAATCTGAGGAAATTAAAGGGTTTAATCCACCTCCTTCCCCATGGAGAAATAGACCTATCGAGGAGAGCCTGCAGTTGTTCGAGGTATTGTCATTTGCAAATAGTCTGAAAAATTAAAATAAAACAGTGTCGGTGACTAAGTGGCTTAATGACGTGACTTGTAATCTACAGGTCTTGGGTTCGAATCTCGCCATATACCAATGTGATTTTCGATTTTTAGAAATTTCATATGTACATAATTTACCCGACGTTTTCATGTTAAAGGAAAACATCGTGATACAACCCACACATATCGGCAAAGAAATTCAAAGATATGTGTGAAGTCAACCAACATTGGGCCAGTGTGGTTGACAATGGCCTAGTCACCCTAACTTAGGGTAGGCTCCGAGCCCCTCAGTGGGGATGGATAGTGAGCTGGTGATGATTTCAATTAAAAAAATATGTAATATTTTTAGGATATGAAAAATGGCAAAATTGATGAAGGTGATGCAACCTTAAGAATGAAGATAACTCTAGAAGAAGGGAAGCAGGATCCGGTTGCATATAGAATAAAGTTTATACCTCACCACCGCACCGGCAGTAAATGGTGCATTTACCCTACTTACGATTATACCCATTGTCTCTGTGATAGCATAGAGCATATTACTCATTCTCTCTGCACTAAGGAATTTCAGTCTCGAAGGTAATGCTTTAGTAATTACAGCTTATGAGAATTGTTGAGAATTCTGCAAAAGTATTTCGCCTATTAATTGTCTCGTTGGTTTTTTTGGAAACATTTGTTTTTTTTTTGTCTGTGGTAATTTATATTATACTTTCATACTAATATTTTTAATACGAAAGTTTAGATGGATGGATGTTTATTAGAGTTTGTAGCTGAACGGATTGTGATGAAATTTAGTATAGATGTAGAGGATAGTCTGGAAGAACAGATAAGCTACTCACTTTTGTTTTTTTTAATCCCACGCGGACTAAGTCGCGGGCAAAAGCTAGTATACTTGCTAAGTTTACTATTTCTTTTAAATTTATTGAATTTCCAGATCGTCATATTACTGGTTGTGCAATGCTCTAGACATTTACTGTCCCGTACAATGGGAGTATGGTCGACTTAATGTCAACTACACCGTGGTCTCCAAGAGGAAGATAGCCAAGCTTATTGATGAAGGAGTTGTTAATGGTATGTTTATATTTTTCTATATTATTGAACATAAATAGAATCATTGAAACTGTAATAAAGGTCAAGTAATTTTAACTATTCATGTTATCTGATCAATTAGGTTCCAGTCATTAATTTTTGCCCCATATCTTTTTGCCTGACTATAGGAAAAGGCCATTTATAACCGTAAATGCTTCATAAATTAATTCTATTAACATATTCAGCATACTTAAAATTATAAGAGCCAGGGCCTACGTTAGGCAAAAGGGGGTGTCAGGTCTATAAATTACATAGTCGAAAATTCATCGTAGAAAATCGCTCAGAGCACTAACACCACTAAAACCCATATTTTTAAATGTATTGAAATAGATAGATTTAATTTTTAATTTTCTATTGTGTTGTAAAAGAAATAACTTGTGCATAGTTTTTTTTGTTTATTCTATGCTCTTCCCACACAGATAGGTCCTTGTTTGCTTCTAGGTTATTCATTTTATCTAAAAGTATTTTTATTGTTTGTTTTAAATGATACTGTCTCTTTAATTCCTTCATTTTTATTTTATTTTACACTTATTTTAATCCTTGGTAATTTTGTCAATTTCTAATGAAATTGACTCCAGTTATCATTTGTACCATACTCATATTATATTATTTCTATGTTTTTTACTTTATTTATTAACACTGGTTTCCTTGTCATAACTCTTTGCTCTCATGCATAGATTGGGATGACCCTCGTCTGTATACGCTGACGGCGCTGCGGCGTCGCGGCGTGCCCGCGGCCGCTGTCAACTCGTTCTGCGCGGCGCTCGGCGTGACGGGCGCGGTGGGCGCTGTCGACCCCGTAATGCTGGATGCTGCCGTTAGAGACGTACTTAATGTTACTGCACCCAGGTAATATTTCTTTTTTCTATATCATACTAATATTATAAATGCGAAAGTTTATATGGATGGATGGATGGATGGATAGATGGATGGATGGATGTTTGTTAGAGTTTGCAGCCCAAACGGCTGAACGGATCTCGATGA